ACACACACACACACACACACACACACACACATGGACACAGTATGTGTTCCTCATTCCCGGCCTCTCCTCCCTATCCTCTCCTCTCTCTCTGACACACACACAAACACACACGTACTGTAGTGACACATCGTCCACACACACTTTTCCTCCCCCTCCCTTTCGCTTCTCTCCTCCACGCGCCGCTGGGAGCGACGCGGTTCTCCAGACTCTACATTGACTGTACTGCGTTACAGCGGCGCGCTTCTTCCAAATGCACCACAATAATCTCCGTACAGTACATTCCTCCGCTAACAGGCCAGGAAACAGCCGTGCAGACTCACTCGCCAGCGGCTGTCAACAAAACAGCGCACACCCCCTCTTCCCTCAGACCGAGGTGAGCAGAAAGACTTGAGGCTCCTCTCTTATGCAACATCCCTGGCTTTTAAAAAAAATGTATTTAAAGAGGAATATTTTCTGTCAACAAAGTCACATGCATGAGCATCATCTCTCATCCCCGCAACCGAAACACAAGTCCTGACGTGTGCAACCAAAAGAAGCGGAGCTCGCCTCAACAAGAGTGTGAGATGCGAGAGGTGGTGGGGGGGGGGGTTGGAGTGAGGTGAGGTGATTCACGGGTGGAATGGATGGGTTGGTGCGGCGCAGTTAAGAAAGAAGGCAGCAGAAGCTTTACTCACCCTGCAGAGCGGAGAGCTGGTCGGACGGTGCAGCCGACGAGAGATCTGTGCGCACTTGGAAGCCTGGCCACCAAATCTGCAGTTTCTCCCTTATCTGTCTCTCCCCCTCGTTCTTGCTCTCGCCGCACAACCCCCCCCCCCCCCCCCTCTCTCTCTCTCTTTTTTCGTGTTTCCCCGTATCTCCCCTCTCCTCCTCTCTGTTCTCCCCCTCTTTCACTCCTCCTCCTTCTCCTTCTTTACTTCACTCTGCTCCTTCAGCACTGCGGAGAATCGGTCGTATGGGCTTCGCTGTAGTTTGGTTAAAGGGAGGTGGGACTGGTGTGTGTGTGTGTGTGTGTGAGTGTGTGTGTGTGTGTGTGTGTGAGAGAGTGTGAGGGAGAGGAGGGGTGAGGAGGGGAGGAGGGGGGTTACAGTGATGTAGGCTGGAGGGAGAAGAAGACGCGCGCGCGCCCACAAAGACAGCATGGCATGAGAGCGTGCTGGCTGAAATTGAGGGCACATCGTGCAGGCTGACAGCACGACTGATTCAAACACAGCAACAATTAGCATCGAGTAACTCTTTAATGAACAAAACACCCAAACATGGAGCTGTAGTGTGTGACATTCATTTCCCCCCCCCCCCTGCATAATAACGGAAGAAAGATGATTGACAGCAGTGAACATATCTCCAGCAGGGAGCCAGAGGAGTAGAATCAACTCACATGGTTTGATTTGGAACTGTTTCGCTTCTCAAAACGTGTCTTACTGTTGGGGATGTCACTCTGTGTGGGTCAAAAACAGTCAAAGAGGTCGACTGATGGCATAAGGCCGATATCATGACGATATAGTTTGGAGCAGGACAAAGACGATAAAAAGAAAGGCCTTCTCATACACCTTATTTAATAAACCAGGTCTTTGTCACTCAGAATGTAATCATTAACATGAGAATATCCTGAAGTTTGATTTGATGGATAACATCGTTGCACTGTTCTGTTTCTTATGACTGGCCAGGATCACATTCCCCGGGTGAGGAGGATCCTGTAATCCTTGTATGCGGACAAAGAATTGATGGCGTTGCGATATATATTCAACAGATAACTTTTCTCGTACGATATGAACTGAAAACTGGTCAGATATGATGTGAATACCTGCAAAATCTGCAGTTCACCACGGCTTCAAAGTTGTATCCTATTTTTAAACCCCATCGCAAGAAAGAATAATGCATTGAAGGTTTTTGGAGTTCTTATGTGGAGGATGTGTCACTTCGTGGGATCTTAACGGTTGGTTTAGATTATCATCAGGAGTCAATCACAGACACAGATATCACAGTTAATCAATGCTTTGCAGCACAATAACATCATGACTGATTGGGAGGTAATTAGCATTGTGCTACTAAAAAAAGATTTTCAGAATTAAATGAACTTGCTGAAGAGTCTGGAGGGCAAGAGGTGTTATTGGTTTATGAATGTGAGAATTGCTTTGTATCAACGTGTTAAAATGAGTGACAAACATGACACAATGTTCTTTAGAAAACTGGGGATTGTGTTAAGCGACACTGAGAATTATAAAAAAAAAAAAAATCTAAATTGTATTTACAGATCTCTTTTCACCAGGATAAGACTTCACACCGGAGATGACAGCAGACTGAGCCCTGACAGTCTTTGACTCCGAACAACCACCGACATAAATCAATATCTTTACAAATCATCCTGTATTTACATGAAGACAAATTACAAATAAATAAAAAACATGTACAAGAGATAGAGCGAGAGATATAGCAGGATGTCACAATATTAGAAAAAAAAGAAATGTTTGAATGTGCCTCCCTGTGTTGTTGCTTGTGATATTGTGTATGTGTGTGAGCGTCTGTGTGCTTGTCTGTTATGCCTCCGTACCCTCTTTCATGGTTGAGTGGCCCCATCAGCCCCTGGCGACCCACAGACTGATACAGTAGGCTGTGTTGCCCTGTGACTCACACTGTGTGTGTGTGTGTGTGTGTGTGTGTGTAAATGCATGAGTACCTGTGTGGGCAACAAGGGGATTCAACCCACCTGCCAAAACTAACTTCCTACACACAAGAGGCCTCACTATTAACTGTGATGAGAAGAGATTAATCATAATCTACCTGAGTTCCATTGGACCAATGCACTAGAAGGTTATTTGTTGCATATTCAGTTCCAATTTGATCTTGAAGTGAAACATTGAAAGGTTCTAAATCAATATAATTCAAACCAAAACTTTGTTAATGAAATTAGTGCAAGTCAATGATGCTGAGTGAGATTAGTTGTGTTTCTTCACAGTCAAGAGATTATTTTGGCCGTTCACACTTGACTGATCCACATTTTATGATCCATGTCAGATGTCCTGGGAATTTCCAAAAAAGTTAAATAATTAGGAACTTATTACTTTACACAAAGGGCAATACATGAATGTTGTTGTTTTTTCGACAATTTAATATGAACCAGATGCCAAAAGTATGAAGTTTAACACTGATGGTTTCATTGTCTCAACCCTATCACTGAACAAGAACATCAGTCAATATAATTGTATCATTTTTAGAAATTACCAATTTCTCAAATATCTCTGCATGTGAGCTGTGGTATAGATGAGGTTAGACAAACGTGGTTATGGCAAATACATTCTGCTAAAGATTAGGTAACTCAAACACTTGTGCAAGGTTGGGAAAGATAGTGGTTGTAATTAATAAAAAAGAATGCTAATGTTGACTGCGGGTCTGTAAAAGCTGTGGACTCAGTTCTCCTGCAGTGTTATTCGTGGATCCATCAGCTCAGCCTCCAAACCCTTATTCCTGGTTTGCTGTAAGGACGCGCTGCTTCCTGGATTGGTATTGAACATTAACGATGGACAGAGGGAGGATGTGAAACAGATCATCCATCAACAACTTGAACTTTTGATAAAACGATGAACACACAACACAGCAGCCGATGTTGCATTGGTAAATATCACAAGGGAATCTTTATCATTTAAAAAAATCTTTATGGCCTAAATATCATCGTCCTTCTAAGTGCAAGGAGAGCTTGATGTAAGGTGACATGTGCTATGTTGTCTCTATAGGGTAAGGAGTCAGTGGTAATCACATCCTACATGTTGACCTTCACAGCCACATGGCCTACATTCACACACATGTTTCAATAGGACCTGCCTTCAGAAGAAAAAGATTATTTCAGCCTCAAGTGGGTCGTCCCCACTTCAGGTAGGCTCTCATCCGCAGCGATACAGGACGAGCAATCTGCTTCCATAAGTCCCGTTCCCAGGGGAGAACTCTAAACTTCTTATCCAGGGCTGAAGAAACGTGTGCGCTCGAGGGAAAATGGTTTCATCAACTGCACAGCTCAGGCTGTATGGAAAGTGTTGTCTTTAGTTATTGCAAAATTGTTTTATTTCCTTGTCCAGGGATTTGTTGTTGTCTTTAAACCACCAATGTCTACTGTTATCAATCGATTTGTATCAGTAGTATCACTACTATTGTAATTATCTTTAATGACTGGGCTCTCCTTTTCTACCTTCCACTGATAGAGGTGATGCCCAAAGTTTTAAGTTGATCAAACTTTGATCTGTTATTTGTACATTATATATGTTGTTAAGTTGCCTTATCTATGTGTTTTCAACGTTTCTGTACAGCATATGCATTTCAAACTAATTTAAAAAAAATACATTGAACCTTTTATATCACATCCCTGGTCATATTGTGCACATATTTAACAATATAGGCAAAAATATCATCTACCTTGTATTTTTATGTAAATATGCGATCATCTTCTGCTCCTGTAAAAAAAAGTATGATCAAATAAAATGTGATAATTGTCCTTACTTACTGTAAACTAGTGCCGACCAATTTCAACCAATTATATTATGACATTCATCCATCAATATGCAACTCTAGGGACAAAGGAGACGCGTGTGGAGCCACAGTCCTCTGTAGCTCTGTGTCACGCTACATTCTAAGCCCGCCCACTTTTAGCGGTCCAATCAAATGCAAAAGATTTGATTAAAATCCTTCTTGTAAATGTACATTGCTCTAATAACCAGTTTCACTGGGGATTATGTCACAGTACATATACTAAAGATGCTCTTACTTTCCGTTTCACTGGGACTTAAAGTTACATTTACTTGCAGCAAATATGAGTCATTGAAAATATACTTTGATTTCCAACAAATTTTTTTTTTCTAATTTTGGACAATCTAGTTTATTGTCCTATTATTGTAAGCTGCTTTGAATATCTGCAGAAGATACTCAATTTGAAATCAAGTGAAACTTTATGGATTACAGTGTTCTAAACTTAAGTTGTTTGCTTTCATGGTGGAAACCTCAAACAGAGTGGAATATCAAGTGAAACTTGGCTTCCCAGTGAAAACACTTCTAATGAGGCCCAGAACGGCAGAGGCTTAAGGAACCTCCTGCGATTTATGGTGTAATGTGTGACTCATAATCACAAACATAGTAATAGTGAGGGAGCACATGGCCTATTTAACTGGTTATTCCTGAGTCAGGCCAACTGGTCCAGAGTCAAATTGCCTTCTGCTGCTTGCTGCTGCCCTGATCAGGGACAAAATAACTACTGTTGTGGTGCATCCATCAGAGATCGGTTTCACACTTTTAGCCATTGTGAGGTATTTAAATTTAGTTCCCAGCATGCAGCTGTTTTCTATGGAAGCCCATTTCCGCCAGCCCAAAAAATTAATAAATAAAAGTCCACCCCCCGAAAATATATATATATTTTTAATTATTATTATTATATTTTTTAACTTTTTTTCTGCCATCAAAAAAAAAAAAAAAAAAGTTCCAGTTGCTGTTTATTGAAGGTCGCCACCTCAGCCACATTGGTTTTATTCTTTATACTCCAGAGCTGCTTCTTGCTTAAAATTCTATTCAAGGGTGCGTCTTCTCACAATCCATTTATATGTCAAATGTAGGGTAACCTATCATCATTTCGACTTTCTATAGCAACTGGAAACATCTGGTCAGTGTTATGGTTACAGATGGATGCAAAATAAAATGCAAAATAAAATGTAAAAAAAGTAAAAAGTAAAAAGTACTTTTTTCCAGCAGCAAAAAAAATAATAATAATTTGAATTCTTTTTATTTTATTTTTTTTAATTTTTTTATGCTGCCGGAAAAAAAGTAAAAACAG